CGGCCGGGCCCGGGCACACGGTCCTCAAGGGTTTGAGCTGAGCGCAGCAGCCCCACCACGACTTCCTACCTGCAGCGGCCCTTCTGGGGCGCTTCCGGGTCCGCTGGAAGTGACGACAGCACAACGCCACAGGCCCCGCCCCCAGGGCACGGAGTGGGCGGGGCTACTGCAGCCCCTCCGTGGGAGCCGCCTGTTGACAATCTAGCGGGGCTGCAAGTGGACCGCTGTCGCGAAGAGCAGAGCAAGCGCAAGTTGAGGGCACGCGGTGCCGGTGGTTGCAGGAGGTTCGCCTGAGCTGGCCCTCAGGCTGCGATCCGCAAGGGACAAGGCGACGTCGCACTGTCCTTAGCAAACATGCGGGTGAGCGAGGTCCCTGCTATTTGAGGGCTCAGTCCCTTTGTACCTAAAGAGCAACAATGTAGACTCCCGTTTAGACCACGAAAACAGCAACCCTTTCTAGGCCAGCCTTTGGCACCTAGTAGGCATATAGTATAGTAAGTATTAGCACCCCTTCTGAATCTGCTGAGCTGATTCAACAAGTGTTTGTAGAGGGCACCCTATAGCCAAAACATCTTTCCCAAGTGCCAACAACTATATGCCAGAAGCTTCACAAGAGTTTTGCCATGTAGTGGTACCATAATTCTGCTCCGTGGGTATCTTTAGCACTGTTTTACAGATAGGCAAACATGAAGCACAGAGAGGTTAAGTAGCATGCCCAAGGTCACACAGTAAGTTTAGGAATCCTCTGCAGATCAGTCCCACTCTCAACAAATCAGATGCCATGCCAGATAATCACTATGGAGAGACAAGATCCTGCCTTCAAGGAGCTCACATCTAGTGAGGAACCAGGCCTGCAAATACAAGTCCTGCCATCGTACCAGCGTGTATAAGTATATTTAATGTGAAATGGAAATTAGGAGGGAGGCCTATCTAGGGGCAGCAGAGAAGGCTGTCAAGGAAAACACTTTGGGATTTGAAGGATGAGTAGTGGTTGCCCATATAACTAGAGATGAGGGAAACAAGCATTCCAGGCAGAGGGAAACGATTGCAAGGACTCCTAGGGCTTCAGGGAGCCTGGCTCACCTGGAAAGCGTGGAGAGTCATCTCAAGGTAGTAGTTTAGGGTATGTGAAAGAGGCGGCAACAGATGGGGCTGACGTATGGACCCAATTTAAGGCTTTTAGATTTTGTCCTGGGTGGTAATACACTAAATTTTAATTGCAAGAGTGGCATCATCAAGACTGGTATGACTGGGTGGCGATACCAAGGGGCAGGAGACCTGTGAAGAGGCGAAGTCAATCCTGAGAAGAGATGGTAGTGAAATAGGGCAGTGACAAGAGGGATGAGAAGAAAGAGGTTAATAACAGAGCTAAAGATGCAGAACTGATCTGATTGTTCACCACTCGTGTGTTATTATGCTGGGACTCTTTTAAATGTACTCTTTGGCCTTGTAAAAAAAAAAAAGAGCCTGCTTAGGAATGCAAGTCTATGACTGAAGAGTAAAGTCATGCCCTCGCTCCAGGAGCTGAGGGGGCAAAAGGGAGGATTAAGACCTCAGCCCGGAGCTCCCGCATCCCTGAGAGGGTGGTGCTCCCAGTCCATGCTGCTAGTTACCAAGAGCTAAGCCGGAGCCCGGAGTGGGCTGAACGCTGCAAACCAAAGCCCTGCGGCGGCCACGGGTGATGGAGAAGGGGGCCACCGTGCAGAGGTGAGCCGCTCGGATGCCGGCTCAGCAGCCGCAGATGTGACGGGCGCGCTAGAACCAGGTGGGGAAACCTGACCCTTTCCTCCTTCAAGCTGGCGCGGCGCGCAGCCGGGCAGCGGA